ACAACTGTGCTGTGAGCCCAGGACAGACAGTTGTTGGCAGGCTCAGACACTGTGGAGAATGACCTGCGTACCTCTGGTAATGTATGTTGGAATGATACAACTGTGCTGTGATCCCAGGACAGACAGTTGTTGGCAGGCTCAGACACTGTGGAGAATGACCTGCGTACCTCTGGTAATGTATGTTGGAATGATACAACTGTGCTGTGAGCCCAGGACAGACAGATGCTGGCAGGCTCAGACACTGTGGAGAATGACCTGCGACCCTCTGGTAATGTATGTTGGAATGATACAACTGTGCTGTGAGCCCAGGACAGACAGTTGTTGGCAGGCTCAGACACTGTGGGGAATGACCAGCGTACCTCTGGTAATGTATGTTGGAATGATACAACTGTGCTGTGAGCCCAGGACAGACAGATGTTGGCAGGCTCAGACACTGTGGGGAATGACCTGCGTACCTCTGGTTATGTATGTTGGAATGATACAACTGTGCTGTGAGCCCAGGACAGACAGTTGTTGGCAGGCTCAGACACTTGGGAGAATGACCTGCGTACTGTTGAAAATGCCTGCCTTTTCTATTTATTTGTAATAGTCATACAGATGATATGAATGTTGTTTTTACTATCAGCTGTCTGTTTTGTTGTCCAATATTGTTCCTTGCCATGAAAACATTAATGAGAAATACATTTGATTATTTTATAGTTTAAATTCGTTTTTCGTTGTAGTTTTGCTTAGATTATCCCTAAACACCTCCACTTGGGAGAATAATTCAAGAGGTTATGGGCCCAGCATCGTTTTATGTACATAACAGTGTTGGGAAATCTAGTCTACTACGTACACGGTAAGAACAATTTATACTGACTTATTTTTCTGTCTCAATTGGTATATCTTTCGATCGAGTTCGTTCAGCTCTACAAATGGAATACGTGAAAGGTATAAAACCATTGAAAGGAGCAGAAGATTGGCCGACGTGGAAAGATCGAGTGTTGGACGTTCTAGAGTTGTTCGACGCGGTTGACATCGTCGAGGGAAAGAGAGAAAAGCCTACCCTCTCTGAGCCTCCGACTAAAGCCGAAAAGGAAGAACTTCAGAAATTCAACAAATCCACGACTCAGGCAAAAATAGTTATTTCTCAGTGCGTCAGTGATTATCTACATCAACGTATTTCCGGAAGATTATCAGCTAAGGAAGCGTGGGACATTTTGATCGAGCAGTTCGATAACAAGGCAGAAGATCAGTTGTTTCGTCAGTGTTTGGATTTCTTCAGTATGGAATGGGATGATACCGAGGATGCCCCGACCGTGCTTTCAAGATTGAAGAATCAAAACCGCGAATTTGCAGCTGGCCTCAAAACGCGTAACATCCAAACAGTCGAAGATTTTCTTGAGCTCCTGTTTGTGTCAAAAGTGTTACACATTTTGCCGAAGCGTTTTGAATCGTTCAAGTCTAGCTACTTACTTATGAAGGCAAACGAGAGCAAGAAACTTGAAGATGTTTCATCTGCATTGATCCTTCATGAGCGTAATGTTGCTCCTACTTCAAAAGCTGGTGACATTCTTAGTGCCACAAACAGCGGTGGTCAGAAGAATAGAAAACCAAAAGGTGACACTTCGTGCAAATACTGTTCGGGGAAAGGTCATTGGATTCGCCAGTGTTCTAAATGGAAAGCTGACGGCAAGCCTGCGTATCCAGCTCGAGCTAACGGCATTAGCACTAGTTCAAAAACTAGTGACACTGATAAGAAGAGAACGAAGGGCTCGCAAGTTAACGTGACCGACAACCGAAGTGCGCTGATTTCCATCAGCAGTGACATGAATATCGTGACCACGAACGACCAGTGGTGGATCGACAATGGTTCTACGCGGCACATTACGTCAAATCTGAGTTGGTTCACGGAGTACAAACCTTTTCCTGCAAACTCGAACGCAACAGTAAAGGCGGCGGGAAAGGAAGTTATAAAAGCTCTTGGCAGTGGAGTCGTTGAAGTAGCGAACTATGAAAATGGAAAACTGGAAACGTTCACACTCAACGATGTCTGGTATGTTCCTGACGTTTCTCGGAACTTATTGTCCATTCTCGCAGCTCATGATCGAAACCCTAATAGCAGGTTTGAATCGACTAATACCGAGTGTCGGTTCACTATTAACGAAAAAACTGTATTCAAAGGTACTCGAAACTGTGGCGGAACTTTGTATCGTGCCTCATTTCACACAGTTCAACCATCTGAGGTTTGCGCTAATGCAGCAGAAGACAATCGCATTCTGCAGTTATATCATGAGCGCTGGGGTCACATGGATAAACGCTACGTCCGATCGAGGCTCGAATCTGAAATGGGTATCAAAGTGCCAGCCAGCTACGAGATCTGCGAACCGTGTCAGTTCGGAAAGGCACACCGTCTACCATTTGGAACACGAGAACGCCCCTCAGCCCCCGGTGAGTTGTTATCCGGTGATGTTTGCGGCCCGTTTGACCCATCCTTCGGAGGTCGCCGATACTTGATTGTCATAAAAGACCACTTTTCAAGGTACCGATACTGTTTTGTCGCAAGGGAAAAATCTGCTGTGAAGGAAGCGTTGCGTGAAGTGTTGGCTAAAGCACGCACAATTGGTCATCACGTCAAAGAGTTTCTCAGCGACAACGGGGGTGAGTTTGACAACGCTGAAGTTCGTCAAATTCTCAGAGAATATGGTGTTAACCAACGTCTGACAGCACCGTATACACCCGAACAAAATGGTGCTGTGGAGAGAGAGAACAGAACAATCGTTGAAATGGCCCGGACCTTCAAGTACGCCAATCCAAATGTAACATTTCCTGCAGCGATCTGGGCGGAACTTGTCATCACTGCTGGCTACGTTTTGAACCGAGTGGGAAAGTCAGCAGTTGCCAACAAATCACCTTTTGAGCTCTGGTTTGGTCAAAAGCCGAGGATCAAACATCTGCGAGTGGTCAGCTCAAAGTGCTACGTCCATGTTCCTGTTCAGAGGAGGTGAAAAATGGACAAGAAAGCTGTGGTTGGTTACCTGGTTGGATACGATGGTGATGAACGATATCGAATCTACGTCCCAGAGAGAAGAGATATCGTAGTTTCTCGTGACGTCGTTTTTCAAGAAATCGTTGGAAACTGTGACAAGAAAGTTGAGTTGCCTATCAAGATTGATAAAACCAATGACGTCGAAGAAGACTGGCAAGAAGTTGAAGAGACTATTGACGAGCCTAGTTCTCCAGTGAAGGGTAATAATGCGCCCATACCGACTGAGGACCCGTCAAGTAGCAGTGATAGTGAAGATGGAGAGTTATCCAACGATCCTGCAACTCGGCACTCGACTCGGGAAAGAAGGCAACCCGAGTGGCTAAACGATTACGTCTCGTCTAACTTTGCCGAAGTTCTTCTTGTTGACGATGAACCTAAGTCTTACACTGAAGCCATCAGTTCAGAAGATAGTGCTGAATGGAAAACAGCAATGGACAAAGAAATGGGGTCCATGCATAAACACGGTGCATGGGAATTGACCGAACTCCCTCCGGGAAAGAAGACTATCAACAACAAGTGGGTCTACCGAATAAAGCGCAATCCTGATGGAAGTGTTAACAAATATCGAGCGAGATTGGTCATCAAAGGATGTGCGCAAAGACCTGGTATTGATTATGCCGAAACCTTCAGCCCGGTTGCTCGTCTGGAGGTCGTTCGATCAATATTGTCCATCGCAGCTGTTGAGAAGATGGTTCTACGGCAGTTTGACGTCTCAACTGCGTTCTTGTACGGAGTCGTTGAAGAAGAGATTTTTATGAAGCAGCCTGAAGGATATTCAGATGGGACAAATCGTGTTTGTTGTCTCAAACGCAGCTTATACGGCCTGAAACAGGCACCTCGATGCTGGAATAAACGGTTTGACGACTTCATGAAAGGCTTAGGATTTCGACAGAGCCGTGAAGATCCCTGCGTCTATATTTGTCCTACCCCTGCTGGAAAAATCATCGTTGCACTCTATGTTGATGACGGATTAGTCGCAGCGACTAGTCAGACTGAAATGGACTTATTTATTGGGCAACTTCGTTCACAATTTGAAATTGTTGCTAAAGAAGTGTCATACTTTCTCGGACTCGAAATTTCTCAAAGTGATGGTGATATATTGGTCTGCCAATCAGCGTATATCAAGAAGATCGTTTCTCGATTCAACATGGAAGGATGCAAGCCAGTACTTGCTCCCATAGAGAAGCTCACTGCTCAAACACCAGGGAAAGCCTCCGATTTTCCATACCGATCGGCAGTTGGAGCCCTACTTTATGTTGCTCGTGGTACTCGTTTTGACATTGCATTTAGTGTAAGTGTTCTATCACGTCACTTAGAAAATCCTACACAAGATGATGTCACAAGAGCAAAGCGTGTTATACGCTATTTGACCGGCACTGTGGACCAGAAGCTAGTGTACCAATCCAAACCTAAAACACGTCTACTGGAGTGCTATAGTGACGCGGACTTTGCTGGTTGTCCAACTACAATGCGTTCAACAAGTGGAGTTATTATTAAATACGCGAGTGCAGCTATAACTTGGCTTAGTCGTCGTCAGGAGTTAGTTGCGGATTCAACTTGTGAAGCTGAAATCATTGCAGCTAATCTTGGTTCAAAAGAAACAATATGGATTGCTCGTTTGTTCAAAGAACTTATAGGATTGTCTGCTGTTCCTATCCTGAAAGTTGACAACGAATCAGCAAGAAAACTCTGTGAAAACCCCGAGTTTCACTTTCGTACAAAACATATTCAGCGGAAGTACCTGTTCATTCGGAGAGGATAAATATAGGTATGCTGACTGTAAAGCACATCGGTTCAGAATATCAACTAGCAGATATACTGACGAAGCCTATACCTCGACCAAGACTTCAAGTTCTGCGAGAAAATCTTGGACTATGCAAATAAGGGAAAGTGTTGAAAATGCCTGCCTTTTCTATTTCATAGAGGATACGCGTCCGGTAACCGGACGTGGATAAGGCGTACGGCAATGACGTCATGGGGTTGCGGGAGCCTGGAACGCCTTTACCACAACAATACAATGGTCAGCCATCGGTGGTCGTGGTGTAGTGGATAAGGTGCTCGGCTGATATGCATGAGGTCCAGGGTTCGAATCCCATTGATGACTTTAACTTTTTGTCGAAGAGTTTGCATTGAATACCATTTATTCTTAACTGTACATCTTTTATTAGAATTTTTGGCATTTCTAATTTTTTTTATTGAGCAAGAATTTAACCTTAATTCGATTTTTTCATTATCAGCAAGTTTGGTTGGTTAGGTTAGGTTATGACAGTAATTGCCGGACGTCTAATCCACGTCTGGTTACCGGACGTGTATCCTCTGCCTTTCTATTTATTTGTAATAGTCATACAGATGATATGAATGTTGTTTTTACTATCAGCTGTCTGTTTTGTTGTCCAATATTGTTCCTTGTCATGAAAACATTAATGAGAAATACATTTGATTATTTTATAGTTTAAATTCGTTTTTCGTTGTAGTTTTGCTTAGATTATCCCTAAACACCTCCACTTGGGAGAATAATTCAAGACGTACCTCTGGTAATGTATGTTGGAATGATACAACTGTGCTGTGAGCCCAGGACAGACAGTTTTTGGCAGGCTCAGACACTGTGGGGAATGACCTGCGTACCTCTGGTAATGTATGTTGGAATGATACAACTGTGTTGTGAGCCCAGGACAGACAGTTGTTGGCAGGCTCAGACACTGTGGGGAATGACCTGCGTACCTCTGGTAATGTATGTTGGAATGATACAACTGTGTTGTGAGCCCAGGACAGACAGTTGTTGGCAGGCTCAGACACTGTGGGGAATGACCTGCGTACCTCTGGTAATGTATGTTGGAATGATACAACTGTGCTGTGAGCCCAGGACAGACAGTTGTTGGCAGGCTCAGACACTGTGGAGAATGACCTGCGTACCTCTGGTAATGTATGTTGGAATGATACAACTGTGCTGTGATCCCAGGACAGACAGTTGTTGGCAGGCTCAGACACTGTGGAGAATGACCTGCGTAGCTCTGGTAATGTATGTTGGAATGATACAACTGTGCTGTGATCCCAGGACAGACAGATGTTGGCAGGCTCAGACACTGTGGGGAATGACCTGCGTACCTCTGGTAATGTATGTTGGAATGATACAACTGTGCTGTGATCCCAGGACAGACAGTTGTTGGCAGGCTCAGACACTGTGGGGAATGACCTGCGTACCTCTGGTAATGTATGTTGGAATGATACAACTGTGCTGTGAGCCCAGGACAGACAGTTGTTGGCAGGCTCAGACACTGTGGGGAATGACCTGCGTACCTCTGGTAATGTATGTTGGAATGATACAACTGTGCTGTGATCCCAGGACAGACAGTTGTTGGCAGGCTTAGACACTGTGGGGAATGACCAACGTACCTCTGGTAATGTACGTTGGAATGATATAACTGTGCTGTGAGCCCAGGACAGACAGATGTTGGCAGGCTCAGACACTGTGGGGAATGACCTGCGTACCTCTGGTAATGTATGTTGGAATGATACAACTGTGCTGTGATCCCAGGACAGACAGTTGTTGGCAGGCTTAGACACTGTGGGGAATGACCAACGTACCTCTGGTAATGTACGTTGGAATGATACAACTGTGCTGTGAGCCCAGGACAGACAGATGTTGGCAGGCTCAGACACTGTGGGGAATGACCTGCGTACCTCTGGTAATGTATGTTGGAATGATACAACTGTGCTGTGATCCCAGGACAGACAGTTGTTGGCAGGCTCAGACACTGTGGAGAATGACCTGCGTAGCTCTGGTAATGTATGTTGGAATGATACAACTGTGCTGTGATCCCAGGACAGACAGTTGTTGGCAGGCTCAGACACTGTGGAGAATGACCAGCGTACCTCTGGTAATGTATGTTGGAATGATACAACTGTGCTGTGAGCCCAGGACAGACAGTTGTTGGCAGGCTCAGACACTGTGGGGAATGACCTGCGTACCTCTGGTAATGTATGTTGGAATGATACAACTGTGCTGTGATCCCAGGACAGACAGTTGTTGGCAGGCTCAGACACTGTGGGGAATGACCTGCGTACCTCTGGTAATGTATGTTGGAATGATACAACTGTGCTGTGATCCCAGGACAGACAGTTGTTGGCAGGCTCAGACACTGTGGGGAATGACCTGCGTACCTCTGGTAATGTATGTTGGAATGATACAACTGTGCTGTGATCCCAGGACAGACAGTTGTTGGCAGGCTCAGACACTGTGGAGAATGACCTGCGTACGTCTGGTAATGTATGTTGGAATGATACAACTGTGCTGTGATCCCAGGACAGACAGTTGTTGGCAGGCTCAGACACTGTGGAGAATGACCTGCGTACCTCTGGTAATGTATGTTGGAATGATACAACTGTGCTGTGAGCCCAGGACAGACAGTTGTTGGGAGGCTCAGACACTGTGGAGAATGACCTGCGTACCTCTGGTAATGTATGTTGGAATGATACAACTGTGCTGTGATCCCAGGACAGACAGTTGTTGGCAGGCTCAGACACTGTGGAGAATGACCTGCGTACGTCTCGTAATGTATGTTGGAATGATACAACTGTGCTGTGAGCCCAGGACAGACAGTTGTTGGCAGGCTTAGACACTGTGGGGAATGACCTGCGTACCTCTGGTAATGTATGTTGGAATGATACAACTGTGCTGTGAGCCCAGGACAGACAGTTGTTGGCAGGCTTAGACACTGTGGGGAATGACCAGCGTACCTCTGGTAATGTATGTTGGAATGATACAACTGTGCTGTGATCCCAGGACAGACAGTTGTTGGCAGGCTCAGACACTGTGGAGAATGACCTGCGTACCTCTGGTAATGTATGTTGGAATGATACAACTGTGCTGTGATCCCAGGACAGACAGTTGTTGGCAGGCTTAGACACTGTGGGGAATGACCAGCGTACCTCTCGTAATGTATGTTGGAATGATACAACTGTGCTGTGATCCCAGGACAGACAGTTGTTGGCAGGCTTAGACACTGTGGGGAATGACCAGCGTACCTCTGGTAATGTATGTTGGAATGATACAACTGTGCTGTGATCCCAGGACAGACAGTTGTTGGCAGGCTCAGACACTGTGGAGAATGACCTGCGTACCTCTGGTAATGTATGTTGGAATGATACAACTGTGCTGTGATCCCAGGACAGACAGTTGTTGGCAGGCTTAGACACTGTGGGGAATGACCAGCGTACCTCTGGTAATGTATGTTGGAATGATACAACTGTGCTGTGATCCCAGGACAGACAGTTGTTGGCAGGCTCAGACACTGTGGAGAATGACCTGCGTACCTCTGGTAATGTATGTTGGAATGATACAACTGTGCTGTGATCCCAGGACAGACAGTTGTTGGCAGGCTCAGACACTGTGGAGAATGACCTGCGTACCTCTGGTAATGTATGTTGGAATGATACAACTGTGCTGTGATCCCAGGACAGACAGTTGTTGGCAGGCTCAGACACTGTGGGGAATGACCAGCGTACCTCTCGTAATGTATGTTGGAATGATACAACTGTGCTGTGATCCCAGGACAGACAGTTGTTGGCAGGCTTAGACACTGTGGGGAATGACCAGCGTACCTAATGTAAACACTCCCTCGGTCCTCTGTTTCATAGATATGCAGTTTATATAGTATAGTATAACTACCTAATATCAATTTCCTACTTACCTACTTATTAATTTCCTTTTTGTCTTAAGTTGTAGGCACTCCTTAAGCACGTGGGACCTAAACAAACATATGTTTACTGCGGATGTAGGATTTTCAGGTATTGCATACAACTCTTACAGAAGAAGTAGCAAATACGTTCTTGATTGACTACAGATTATTCATCCGTTGATTTGCAGTAGTGTAGGTTCCATTAATTGTTAGATACATAATCCAAGGGCATGATCCTACGCCTTTCATAATATGCTATCTGCCTACGCATTGTCAACTACTAATCTGAAAATGCTACTCATTTCTCACCTGTATGCAGGATTCCTTTAAGAGAATTTGCAATTATTCTAGTTAATCAGTCAGTATTGTAGCATATAGGTTAATGCACGAGAATATGCAATCGATCAACATTGTAGCAAAAATGTTAATGTGCGAGAACATTTGTAGGTAATAAATTAGCATTGTAGCAGATGGACCAATGTGCGAGAACATGTAATCGATCAGTATTGTAACAGACAGTTAAATACACCAGAGTTTGAAATCAATTAGCAGAAGGTCAATCCGCGAGAACGTGTAATAAAAAGCATTTTAGCAGATAGGCCAATGAGAAAGAATTTGCAATCAGTCAACATTGTTGCAGATGGGTCAATGCGCGAGAACATGTTCTAAATCAGCATTGTAGCAGATGGTTTAATGCACGAGAACATACAAACAACAAGCATTGTGGCAGATAGGTCAATGCGCAAGAATTTGCAATCAATCAGCATTGTTGCAGATGGGTCAATGCGCGAGAACTTGCGCAATAAGGCCCTCAGCTACTCATTATAATGCGCTATTCATTATGTCTGGTTCATTTACATTATTATGTCACAAACACAGGGAAAGTTAAGTCCGCCACCGCCGCGCCGCGCTATTGTCGCTGTCGTTAAGAATGGTGTAATTGTAATTGTGCTCCTCAAGAGCGTGATTTACCCGTACTAAACCACCGGCTTTACGAGCTTTCAGCTGATAAATTGTTATTGTTAGTTTATTGCCGTTTAACTTCAGTAATAACTCGGTTGTAGACAAAACAGCTGACAAACACCTGTCAGATAACAACGAGGCTCACACTTGGCGGTTGATTGATATCGCTGTTAAGTCAAATTATAGTAGTTTCTAGATAATGACTAAATCACTCACTATCTATATTTGAACCGTAAGGCGTATTTGAACCCAAATATGAATGATAGATGAGTCTAGAATTATAAGATAACTACAAGATGGCTTGATAAAGCAAATGGCCTTTTTATATTGGACAGTAACAAGTTATAAAGAATCGGAAATAGAAATATATTTATGTATATATTGTATGTTGTCTGGCAAATATAAAATTTAAATATATTATAGCACTTTGAACTATGCATATATAACATACATATTATGATATTCAAAACTCAAATCCGTAAAATATTTTGTGACGAGTGACCTAATTAAACAATAAATACCCCCGCCGCAGCAAACCTGCCGTCTAAGCGAATTTCCATTTGGCCGAATTGATTTTCAATTGATCTATTTAAATAACATTAGGTTTAACGAGTACCTAGGTTTGCTGCTACAAGGAAACTAATAAAGTAGTGTGTTTTAGTAAAATATTGATAGCTTACTATAAAATAAATAAATTTGCCAAGTTTGATCAAAATATATCCATAAACAAGCAAACTACAACATTTTACAATATTCTCCATAAGAATAACATGGGAATTTTAAATTTACCATTTTTTTTAGTTTTCTCCGTAACCAATAATTGTACAAAAACACTTTGATATACTGAATTGTTTGTTTTTTTAAGCTCTTTAAGAAGGTTTAGAGAAAAATTGGGAAATTTTGTGTTTTGAGGGTAAGAAGTAAGAAAAACAAATTTTTACCCCATAAAACCCTGTTCCCATAGTCCGATCATGCTGGATCGCGAACTCATTCAAGTTTATCCCGCCTTACACCTTCAAACCAAATTTCATCAAAATCGGATAAAAATTACTCAAGTTATCGTGTTCACGGACACACATATATATATATATATATATATATATATATATATATATATATATATATATATATATATATATATATATATATATATATATATATACATATATAAAAATTTGAACGAATGGTGTTTTTGGCCTCTGGGAACATTAAAATGAAAAAGTAAATCGGTCCCGGGCCTAAGTCTTACCATGAGACCTACGGTAATAGCTACTTCCCTATAGGGAAATTCGCTAAAATGAATTCATTATTTTCCTTTAATTTTTAACTCACAATTTAATGAAAAAAAAAATGAAGATACGTCCATATAGAAAAATTATTATAACCAATAAAGATGAAATGGGCGAAACCGTCTATTTTCAAACTACAGTAGTTAGAAAAGTACAAGATAGAAATTTACTTTATTTTTCAGTATGATCGTTAAAAAAATAAAATAAACTTAAACCCCCTCGAATTCTTTCTCTAATTATCAGATGAAGCTGGTTCACGAACTCTTTGAAATATTTGTGTCAGAGTTCATGTTGAACCTAGTTGATTCACTGACACGAAGACGTTTTATATCCACAAATACTGGATTCTCCCACTGGAAATTCTAATATTGTTTGCATTCGGAGGAAGGCCTCATATTACGTTGCTGGCTGAATAGAACAGCGATGTAGAATGATTGAAAATTGCATAACTCAATCACGTGTGCCTGGGAGTGTACGTGTTTGTGGGGTGGGTGGCCGCTGTGCCCGCCAGCCGCTACCGTCCGCGCAACGCCACGCCGTCAAATTACAGACCTCGGACTTGGTTAGGAAACTCGGGTTCGTGATCTACACCTACGCTATTAAAACTGTAAAATATCCGCTTCAACTTATCAAACAATAGTCTACTCTAACATTTCGGCCGTTTGGTTCCCCCCAAGGATTTCCTTGTTATAGTGTTGAGTTTTCTATTTGTGAGCTGATTTGCAACGGGATGAGTTTAGAGTTTGCAGTGGGGAAAACCTCTGAACTCTCTTCCGTAAATCTACTGAAGAAACCAGTTAATTACATAAAGATCCACCTAAAATATTTGGACGTGCAAAAGCCGTATCCCGGTGGGACTTTAATAAGGAGGTGAACCGAGTATATTAGCACCTAAGTAATTGGTTCAAAACTTAATGTATCTAAATACTATACATTCCTATATAACTATATGTACAGCAAATCAACTAAGCGATGCAGTTATATCATTGTTATCTTGAACTGTATAGAGGTTTTAGAAACTAAAGACGTGTGAAATCACGTAGATTATGTGAAATATAACCCAGATAAGTGATTGGGTGGCGAAGTGACCGCAACCGCAGAGTGGAGGTGTCCGGCTCAATAACACCTCGGTCACTAAACATGTACCCGCAAACCTAGTTTACAATAGACCAACCAAGTTAATCTACGCGAAAGATTGTGAGAAAAAACTATCTTTAGTGGTTTGCCGAATCAATCCTAACGTAACCATAATTAAATGAATGTAAACGGAGCACAACATTGTTAAATCTATATATTAATATGCTAATATAAAGTGAAAGATGCTCATTGATAAGTCTTAAATATTTGTAGATTTTTCAAAGGTTTAAACTACCATGATAGTTTTGACTGTACATTGAGCCTAGTATGAGCTAAGAAAGACTATCAGAATGCTAAGAGACAACATCATGCACAGCATATTGATGGGTTTGACCAGCCGGATATCCTCATCCTCCTTACACCCTTACATTACTTCGATCATGCGGCGGACATCCGTCACCAACCAGATATTATGAATCTTCATCTTCTGTGACTATAAGATGGCCATGATAAAACAAAAATACTGTGCTCTTGGATACAATATCGCCCTACAATCTATCGAGGGAGATTATAGACTCTAGGATAGCTGCATGAACCTCAATTGGCATTATTTCAGAAGAAATACAGTCGTCATGTATAACCCTCATTTGGAAACAATGAGCGTAGCACTCGTGAAAATATAAAGGATTGTATAAAGCAGTTTAAATATTTAAAAAACGAGTAACGTAGTGCTCCTTAGGATGCTGCAACACTTAGAACATTATAGAGGGGTTTTGTCGAACTTAAGTGACAGTACCTCTCTTCTTATGATAAAGCCATTTCTGGTTTATTCATGACAAATCAGAAATAGTTAGTCAATTTCGGAATGATGTTTAGGTAAGCTTTACTGTAGTGTTTTAAAATTATATTTTTGCTAGAAGATACGAGTCTAGAGGGTTATGCGTGAACTCGACCTCATTAATCAACAGAAGAACACGGCTGGTTCTTTCTATCGCATTGCTGTATAAAGAGGCTGTCAAACTGTCAAGCATGTTGTGTCTCCACCTTTCAAGGGTGCGGCTTTGTCATGGTAATATGGAACAACACCATTGAATACAATACACTAAACACTGATACTAACATCAGTGCATAGAACTCAAGTGTCGAGTCTCTGCTGCTCGTACCAGTAAAATATGTAATAAAAGTAAATATGAAATGTTATTATGAAAAACCACCATACACAGTCCCAGCTCGATTTTTGTAGGAGTCTGGACCCAGCTTAAATGAATTTAGGGTTTACAGGCAGGCGCGTATCCCAACATTTATGAAAACGCATCGCAACTGATGCACTGATTAGACCGACAACTTGGGTAGTGTAGTGAACTTTAAAAGCGTATAAGACAGTCATTCAGAGGCATGTGAAGGTTTTTTTCTACCTCATCCTAGTTTTTGTCCATCCTCAGCCATTCAGTAGTATAACAATTTTTTCTTTTACGGTCTTGTCTTATCGTCAGCGAGCCAGAGGTAGACCATTGGCCTCTCTATTGATCTTGATCTATTCTTAGCCAAGCCACCCAGAGGTAGATAATTGGA